GAGGCAGGTCCAGGACTGGTGAAGCCCTCCCAGAAGCTGTCCCTCACCTGCACTGTCTCTGGTTACTCCATCACCAGTGGTTACTGCTGGAGCTGGATCCACCAGCCCTCAGGGAAGGGGCTGCAGTGGATGGGCTGCATAAGGTATGATGGTGATACAGATTATAACCTGTCCTTCCAAAGCCGACTCTCCATCAATAGAGACACATCGAAGAATCAGTTCTCCCTGCAGCTGAGCTCCGTGACTGCTGAGGATACGGCCCTGTATTACTGTGCGGGGATATCAGTGTAAGCCCAGACACAAATCTCCCCTGTAGGGAAGACACTGGGCAGCAGGGGGCGCGCAGGACCCATTGCTCACAGACACCAGTCCTAGACAGGCACAGATGGAGGACAGGGAGGATGTCCTGTTGGAATTAGGGCTTTCTCTCTTTCTCCTAGCCTCCCCTGGGACAGTTTTTCCTTTTGTTATCTTTTTTGTCTATTTTACATTGGGATGAAAGGTGCAAGGTAAGTAGTTTGAAATCACTGGTTCCTCCAAGGGAGAAAGATGGGGCTGTTTGCTCCCCCAAAAGGTTAACAGGGTCTGAAACCATAAGGAGCAGTGCTACTCTGTCCTAGGGTGTCACTGTGATTCGGGATTCCCTTGGTGCCAATGGCTTATAGTTACCCACTTTCTGAATTTGTATTTTATTTTGGTTGCTCATCTCCATTAATTTATTTTCTGTGTATTCTGTATTTTGTTTAATCATATTTGATATTATTATCAGGAATTGTTCTCTTTTATCCATCATCCTGGTCTCCATAGAACTTCCTACATCGTGTTTTCATTTTAATTACATCATCTTTTTCTGTAACATTTTTTATGATATTGTTTATAAAATCTTTATTAACATGTTAATAGTTTTCCTGGTTGTGATCAATTTACAAGGTGTCTTTATGAAAATAACTGTTAGATCTCTCTGGAGCTAGATTAATACCTCCAGATTTATACCAGCGAGAAAGAATTCACGCCGAAGCCTGGTTCGTGATCGAAGTGAGTTTTATGAGGGTTAGAGGAACTTTCAGGTTTACACGGCACCCAAGGGGCTCCTTCCAGACATGTGACCTGGTTGGCAGCTGCTTGGCTTCATGCAAAGCGTCCCAAAGTTCTGCCCAAAGCTCTCTGCACCTAAGTTCTCTCCCTTCCCTCTCCTGGCTTCTGCCTTTTCAAGGATTCCACAGGGAGGCGTGGTGCAAGACCCCTCATTGACCCCATTGGCTGAATTAAATTTACCTGGCTAGGTGAGCCAATTCAAGTTCACGCCCACCCCTGCCTACCAGCAGGAACCCTGAAAATGTGCGGTGCTCCACTCTTTTGTTCCCCTGGCTTGGCCCTCTGCGCACGCGTTAACAGACATCCCCCAGTCCTATGCTGGCCTACCTAACATAACCTTATTCTCCCTTCTAGTTGTATTGCTCCCCCTCTTATGTAGTGCATACAATATGACTGTTGGTTTCTGTTAAACCAGTGTCTGAGGTCACCGACACAAGCTCTGCTTAAACACAGACTTTGGATGCTTAGGACCAGAGAAAATGTGGTTGTGGTACCCACAGAA